GACCAACCCTCAGAGGGAAAATGATTCCCAGCTTGTGATTCCCTCCCAGCAAACTACCCAACAAGTTTGAAGAGAGAAAAAAAGACACCGTCAAACATACAAGATGCCAAAAAAAAAAAAAAAAATCACTTTCCGAACTTTCCCAGGAAGCTTCCGATGGAAGTGCTCAATTAAAACAATGTAAGAAACCAAAAGCAAGATCACATATAAACTCTCTGACCTGGGGGAAGGTGATGGCACTTTGGAGTCCCAGGATGGCACTGCTGCGGGAGGGTGCCCTCCTCACACTGGCACGCCTGGGTCTCAGGTACAACAGCCTGGTGCTGTCACGCCATCTTTTACCTGGACGGCACTGGAGATGTGCTGTGTCCAACCAGGGAGTTCGGAAAAAAGAGAGATGAGTGTTCCAGAAACAGGGGCTCCGGCTCGGAAGGAAGGTAAAGGGAGGCCCTCTGATTTTAGTGAGGAGAAGTCCTAGAAGATCAGCCAGGCAGTAAGCCCAGGGAAAACCCAGGCCAAACAGGAGAGTTTGGGGGTCACCAAGAAAAAACTGGAACTGGCAGATCACATACTGTGACGGACGTTGTGGAAAACAGTTCTGAGAGGCTATATTGTAAGTGGAAATTACCAATTAATAGGTACACAGAAAACTCATCAAGCGAAAAAGCAAGGTAGTTATTAATTTTAGGAAAAACAAAATGTAAGAAAAGAAAGACAAAAATTCGCTCCTTCCAGCGGGGGAAGCTCCCTCACAGTAGGTTTCCTAGAAGGAAGACACGGCTGAATATTTGGAGCCCACTGGCAGAACTTAGTGCTGTTGTTACCTAGAGCTATCAAGAAGCCTGGAAACGGAGCCTTTTCTTTTCATACACTGGTGTGCGCCTCCGAAAATCCAGGTTTTGTTACTGCAGAGAAAGGGGAGAGTGAGTGTTGGAGTGGACGAGTAGCAGCCACCTGAGTCACTTTCACCAAAGACACATTTCCAACTGAACACGGTGCTAACATGAACCTTCATGTGCCGAATAATATGGCACCAAAACATGCAAAGTAAAACCCACAGAAACACAATAAAAAGAAAAAGGAACACAATATTCAAGGGAAGGTAACAGATCACTTAGTCCTCGATGGACTGATGACAGACAGACTACCACCACTTGGGAGCAACAATAAGGAGATATCCAAATTATAAGATCAATAAGGCTGAGTTAATATATATAACTTTAACTTAGAAATACATGTTATTTTTAATACCTACTGAACAATTATCCACAGGAGAGAAGTTTCAAAAATTTTGATGCCATATTTAAATTATCCATACTCTATAGGAAAATGAAAAATTAATAATAAAAGTTGAAATAATAACAACAAAATGCCAATGACATGAAAATGTTCAAACTCCTAAATAATTCTCAAGTGTAAGAAAACTCAGCTATACCCTCGGAATGCCTTTAAAATAATGAAAACATTAGACATGAAATATAGGAGATACAGCCACCATTGCAAACAGAAGACCACTCAAAGCCTTCACCATTTCAGCACTGAACCAGAAACACAGGAAATTAGCAGATCATGCATTTTGCTTAAGTCTTATAAAATTAACAAAAGAAACGCAACACAAAAAGAAGCCATGAATCACGGGCTGGGGTGGTGGCTCAGTGGTGGAGCTCTTGCATAGCATGTGTGAGTCACTGGGTTCGATTCTCAGCACCACGTATAAATAAATTAAATAAAGGCTCATCAACAACTAAAAATAAGATTAAAAAAAGAAGTCATTGATCAAGAGAAACAAAAGTTCATGAAAACAGAATACAAGTGAAGCAGCAGCAGAATTGATAAACATTTTGTTTGCCAAGCTTTCTTTGGTAAACAAAACAGAAAAATTTAAAAAAAAAAAGGAGGGGGGGGCTACTAGTTAAAGTAATCCTCAAAAAAGAAGAAGAAACAAACACATAAAACTAGCAACAATAAAGAAAAAAATGACCACAGGTCCAGAAGAAATGGGAGAGCCCCACAGATGGGGGACTCTTGCTAATAATGACTTAAAGACCTGGGCGGGAGAAGGGTGATTGTCTAGGAAGAGACTCATTGCGTGAGAAAAGAGAGAAATTAATGCTGTAAGCAAAATCAAGTTGTTAACAAGCCACCTCTGCTCCAAAGTGCCTGCTCCGAGGAATAGTTACTGTGAAGCTGTAAAAACTCTTCCTGATAGGAGCAGGCAGGGAGACCTGGGGATGATCACACTCTGACACTAACACCTGGTGTAAGGGTCCGGCGAAGCGTCGGAGAAAGAGACCACCAAGTGACCACTCATGCAATTGGCAGAAGGGGATTTATTGATCTAGCATGCTAGGGCTCTGTGCCCACTCGAGAAGGGAGAACAGCCCAGAGCCCCGAGCAGGGGCTGAGCACTGCTTAAGTACACTTTTTTTGGGAGGGCGGGGATTTTACATACATCACAGTCTCCTTTAACAAATCATTATACACCGCGGGAAAGTCAAACAACAATTCTTAGACTTGATTAGTACATACATTGGTGGGAACAGGTCAGGCTGGAGTGATAGGTCATTCCTAAGGAGGGTACACATTCAAACTGATTGGTCCAGGCCCTGTAATGCCTACGTGACAAGCTGCACAGGGTCTTGAATGCCATAAATCAACTAAATAGCCAGTAGGGCATTGTCTTAACTGCCTCAGGAATTTAACCCAGGCTTTGCAGTTTAGAAGCAGGTTTACAATGCCTGGTCCTTTACCCTTTAACTTTTACGCTTTAACTTCAATTTCTTTTACCCTTACACTGGGAGCACAAAAATACGGGACTTCAGACCCCTATTGTGCACATTAAGTGCAAAAACCTAACTAAGGACACACCCGTCCATCCCAGCCCCCAGCGGGTTAGTGTCTTACCACTGCCATAGGCATCTCCACAAGCTGCTGCTCAGAACCACTTCAATCTATTATCTCACAGTTCTGTGGGCCAGAGATCCAACGTGAGTCTAAGTGGGCCAAGGCCAAGGTGGGCCAGGCTGAGGTGCTCTCCTGGGCTCACTGGTGTCCCCTGTCCCCACTGCCGCTTCAAGCCAGCAGAAGTGTGTCAAATCCTCCTCTGCTTGGACTCCCTCCAGCTTCCTCTTCTGTCCCCTGTGCTTTAAGGGCTCATGTGATTGTTGTGACCCACCCAGATATTTCAGGGGGACCTCTCTATTTTAAGGTCAATTGGTCAGTAACCCTAATTACATCCCTTTTGTCACATAACATTCAGAGGCATGACAGCTGGGGGCAAATGTCATGAGGGTCAAAAGTCTACCTGCCACAAGCAGTGTTGAGAGACTAACATGCCACGACCCAGCCCAAGAGCCTGACCACTGTTAGAAAAGGTACTGACGTAAGTCATTACTCGAACATGGGACATGTCGTAAAGAGAAAAACATTTTAAATTTTCTTAAAATGGACTTTATAAAATTCAATATCCCCTTCAGACATTTTACACCCATGGAGCCCTAGTTCTGTAACTTTATGGAAAATGCATATCCCTCAAACCAAAGCCTGTGGCCAGCGGTGCTGCCTACCAAGACCGCCCTCGGGTCAGGAAAACAGCCCCCGGCCGGCCTGGTTCTGCAAGCACTGCGCAGCCAATACGGCGCCAGCCAGGGCAGCACTGCGGCTGAAAGGAGGGGCACAGGGCAACCATCTGCGGGCGCAGAAGGACCAGCTGCAACACTTCCAGGGACAGGCAGAGGGTTCTAGAAGGAGGCTGGAGCACAGAATCAACAGGGAAAATCAATCCTGTTTCTGTTCTCCTGAACAACCCTAGAAAATAAGGAGGAGAAATCACTTCATCAAAGTCTCAACAAGAACAACCACAGATAACACCACACGGAAATATGCTTCACAGTGTGGCCCAAGAGTGCTGTGTTCCAACACCTGAGACCCCACATCAGCTTACAGTCGGAAGGCGGGTCCCATTCAAGTCCCCGGCAGTTGTCCTTACACATCGTGAAAGTGCTACAGCCTTCACCAGGAGCAATGAGCATGTAGAACAGATGATAGAGAGAGTGATGGGAGGGCCTTGGCCTGCATTTATATTGAAACATGTGAGCAGTGTGGCACTGCTGCAGAAACGGACACGTGGAAAACAGAACGTTCAGAAAGGGACCCACGTATTTTGAGAGGCTGGACATACAAATGGACAATGGTCAGACCATACACAAAAGCAGAACCAGAACCGCCATCCACAGCAACTGCCCAGGAACCCAACGAGGAGCCCTCAGCCCCAAGAGTCAGGACCAGCTTCCCTTACTTTGCCACCATTCCCAACGTAGAGGAAGCCAAATATGCTCCCTCACCAATCATGCAGGATGCCCACTTCACGTCGGCCCAGCCCAGCTCCCCAGGCCAACAGCTTGCTCGGGAGGAAGCTGCCCTGGCCCACTTGCCTGCCTGCAGCCTCTGCCCCCTGCCCCCACGAGCTCTCATCAAGTAGCCCTGACCCTGGCTGGCCTTCGCTTCGTTCCACACCACTACGACTGCGGCCCCTCGCAGGTTCAAGGCAGTGGAGGAAGGCAAGGCTACTCAACAGTATTCAGCATGGTTCTGGAACAAATGTTAGCCACCTGGGACAAAGAAGACTCACACTGCATACCCACAGCAAGACAAATACCAAGGGCATCAAAGATTTAAGTGCAAAAAAAGTGAAGCTATTGAAATAGTAGAAGAAAATATCAGTTGATTTGCACAACAATCTCACAAGGAAGGCGACTATGGTATTTATTCCCATTTATGGGTGAAGATATCAGATCCAGAAGGAGCATGAAAGCCAGGGATCGAACCCTAGCTCAACTCCTAGTGCCCAGGGCAAGTGGGGCGGGTAGGTGGGAATGGGTGGACCCGCGTCCGTCCCACTTCAAGAACATGAGAACACTGTCAGATGGACCCAGTTCTCTGAGCCCTGGAGGGAGAATGCCCAGGGCTCAGGCAGGCCTGGCTCTGGCAAGACGGCTCACCTGTTGGGGATGTAGCCCAGGCTGTCGAGCTTCTGTGCCTGGTCCAAGTCTCGGGGGACGCCATGCAGCACCCACCCTTTCTGCACACAGTCCTGCCGGTCCAGGCGTTCAGCCAGCATCTTCATGATGACGCTGTCAGGGACTGCAGAGAAAGGAGAGTGAGTGAGGGTCCGCCTGCTGGTCTGGGCCCCGGCCGGTGGCTTCCTGGCCTTTCTGGCCCACAGGCTGAGCTGCTGAAGAGGTGGGTGTAGGCGGAGCCACTTGGGACACCTGTTTCCAGCTTCCTCCATGTCCCAGCAATAAGAGGTTGGAAGAAACCGGTCTGCCTGAGATGGGGAATGTCCTGGTGACTTCGTCCTTCCCTGACCTAGACAAGATCCCATCACCATGGGCAGCCAGGGTAGTTCCCAGGCCTTCAATGACACGAGGGCGGTTCCCCTATCACCAGCAACCTAACCAGAAGCCCCACTTCCTCGTACTGTCATCTTGGGGTTAGGCTTCAACATAGGCATTTTGAGGGGGACACAAACATTCAGGTCAGAGCACCCCACAATGATCCAGCTCTGCAGCAATCACTTTTCACGGCAGAACACGAAGCCCCAAGTTCTAGTATTCTTCAGATGGGGTCTCGTTGGTGCCCTGGCTGCTCTCTGCTAATTTGGGTCCACAAGCACCCCTGCCCTTGCTATCCCTGAGTCTCCCGTCCTTGATCCTTGGACCCGAGTCTCTCTCAAGAATCATTTGTAACTGGAGACTGAAATACAGTCCCACGGAGAAGACGAAGACGTTGGAAGCCTCTTATTGACATTGCCGCGACTGACATTTCTCTCCTGGAATCCCGCCCTCCCGGGCTCATTAAGTGCCCTGTGTTGCCGATGTACTGCGTCCCAGCGATTAGCACTGCGCTTCCCGCACTTTGCACTCATTTCCCAGAAATACTTGGTAAATGTTACCACTGTTTGCTGTGAAGGTGGCCCAGGTGGGCTGCTGTGCAGGAGCCACAGTGACAGTGTTCAGCAGTTTCTCTGGAAGCTTCTGCCCTTGGGCCTGGCAAGTGGCCCTAAGGCACTTATGAAGCCTCCAAGGCCACCCCACGCCCCGCTGACCGCCAGGTGAACCTGGGGGTAAGCGGTAGATCACAACCGCTGCTCTTCTCTGTGCCAGCATGCACTGGGTGACACCCTTGTCACCAAAGAAATGCAAACTTTATCCCAAGCAATTTGCATCTCATCAAATTTGGTTTTTCTCCTGTCTTTCAACCTTTCTTCTCTAGTTCCTAGGAAGGAACAGGAAAGGGATTCTACTTAACAGAACACGTGGCTGTCTGTCCTGGTAAAAGTTGCATTGGCTGATTCCGCCCCTCTCCCCTCTCCCGGCATCCTGGCAGTGGCTCTCCAGTGCTTTGAGAAAAAAATCAGCCCCCGCCCCCGCCCCCACGGCCACAGGCCTGGCAAGCTCTGGATCCTGCCTTCCTCCTTCCCTTTGTCCACAACATCTTCTTACATGGGCCTGGCCAAGGAAAGGCCTTTGCGCTGCGGCCTCGGGACTCAGGACCAGGGAAAATTCCCTCCGGGGAAGACTCCAAGGACTGTCCCCAGCCTGGGCTGCACCTGCACTTACCACCCTCCTTCCCTTGTTCTGGGTGATTCTTCAGTGAATGTCTGCCACTCACAAAAGACAGTGGGTCTCACAAGGACAAAGGACTGGGCCTACTAACCTTTTCTGTGCCCAACACAGTGCCTGGTACCCAGTGGATAAGGACAGACAGACAGGAGGCCTCCCTTTTCAAAAGTGTCACTGCAGCTGACCAAACGAGACCAACTTGACCGACTCTGGGGAAGCTGCAGTCGAGGCTGGGAGCATGGCTCCGGCCCTCCCAAAGCAGGACCCAGGCCTGCCTGAGCAACGATGCCCACCAGGCCGTCCACCTGCAGCCTCAGCTTGCATCTGCCACAAGAGGACAGGGGCCCATTGCAGTGGGTCAACACCTCGTATGAAGTTCTGGCGTGCAGCAGACACTCTATGATGGTGGCTTGGTTTGATCCAGGAGATGTGTGTCAGGGAACAGAGGTTCAAGAACATTTTCTGGTTTCTCTGTGGCCAGCGAGTCTAGGATGCTGAGCCCCAGCCAGCCTTGGAAGTTAGAGACCACCAGGTGATCGGGTCCTCAGCTGAGGTGCTTGCTTACATTCTAGGGTTGTAACCCGGTGACCTCCTCTTCCTCTCCCCAGTAGGACTTGTCTGCACTCTAGGGTCAGGTGGCTGGAGCTGGGAGCTGTCCAGCACCTCCAAAAGCTCTGCAGCCCAGGAAATCAGGGCTCCACCCCTGAAGGGCTGGGGCGTGGGGACCCAGCTCTGAAGGTACTGTGTGCTGCAGTAATCGTCAGCTCTCTGACCCAGAACCCTTGTGATCAGGAACACCGGGGTGTCTAGGCCCACCTGGAATGCTGCTGGGGTTCACACCTAGACAAGAACTTGGGCACAATAAGCCTCCCCAGGGCTCCCTCCAGGGGGTGGCTATCAGCACGTGGCTAGTGCCGGGCACAGGGCTCAGCTTGGCTCTGACGTCAGGCAGGACACAGGGCCTGCCCTCTGCAGGTCTGTGTTCTTGTGGGGGAGACAAACAACACCCGAGTAGACAACCACTTCAGGAAGAGACGATGCCAATGATGGAGACTGTTGGTGTGACTGGCCGAGGCGGCCTCTGACGCAGTCACATTGGCTGAGATCCGAACGTGGACACCCAGGCCCATTAGGGCCTCCTTACTCTGTGGTGAGGACAATGTGGGGCCAGATATTTTCTGATTGTTCATAATGACCATTCTTGGAAGCCAAGATGCCAGGGAGGCCCAGGAGGCCCAGGGAGGCCCAACATCTGAACTGCAGCTTTCTCGAGGGCTCGAGGTCATCCCCAGGACCTCCCACATTTTGAAGTTGGGAAGCCGAGGCCTGACAAGGGCGTGCTAACGCGACTTGCCAGTTGGCGCATCGCCCTCCCATCGAGCCCTCAGCTGTTCTCGTGCCTCCTTGGCCAGTGTCCCTGGAGCTCTGGCGGCTCAGCCACATTTAGCCCAGTCCAGAGAAGTTTCTCGGCTGGGAGAACGGGGCCAGACAGCCTCCTCTCCTCCTCCAGAGACTTGTCTTCCTTTTCTCCTTTTTTTTTTTTTTTGGCCTTTGGGTAACAAAGATCCCTGGGGGGAGACTCCCAGTTCCCACGCCCTTTGGCCCCCGCTGTCCTAGTCTAAGAAGCACCCTACGCTGAGGGAACAGACGGGAAGAGGTGTGTCAAAGACCTGTCAGGGCTGGGCTGGGGCTCAGCAGTAGAGCACACGCCTAGCACGGGCGGGTCACGGGCGGGTCGCACGCACATAAAAATAAAGGTATTGTGTTAGAAAAAAAAAAGGAAGAAAATTTAACAGGACTGTTCACCATAGTGACATTGGGACATGCAGAGTGTCCCCCAGACACTGGGCAACCTTCATAAAAGGTCCTAGGATGGGATAAAGCAGCTCAACAACTGGCTTGTGGAATGAGGACCAATTTAAACCTTTTTTTAGTTGTAGATGGACACAACACCTTTATTTTATTTATTTATGTGGTGCTGAGGATGGAACCCAGTGCCCCGGGCATGCAAGGCACGCGCTCTCCCACTGAGGCACTGGCCCAGCCCTAAACATAAACTTTTGTGTAACTGTTTAAACACACAGGAGAGCGAGGAGCGGCCACCACGTGATGCTCCAGAGTCCACCGATCCCTCTGGTTCTGGAGCCCAGGGCACCAGCATCAAGAGGGGACAAGGACCCCATCCAACACAGTCCTGGCTGGAAACCGCAAGGCTGGGAGGAGTGGGAGGGGGACCCGCGGGGGCACCTGCTGGAAGACTGGGAAGCCAGTGAGGCAGAGACGGAGTCCTACTGGAACAGGAGCCGCAACAGCCCCTCTTCAGGAGGCAGGAAGAAATGACCCCACACCTCCTGCTGAGGAGTCCATCAGTAGCCATTGCTGTGGTGCCTGCTTCACGCCTGCCTTGTGAGACGGGGACCGCAGGGGCCAAGGGCCTCGCCTGGGCTGGACAGCAGACTCGGGGGCCTGGGAACAGCTGCGGACTCCTCTTTAGCACAAGGCTCCTCCCGAGCCAACCCACACGCCCGCCCTCGCACGTGACCAATAAAGCAGCCCCCTCTCTCACCAGGGAGCCAGCCTGACCCCCTATTGTGGGAACCCAGTCTCCATTCAAAAGGGATGTCCCCGGGGAAGCCTTACCAGGTCCTGAGGGAACGGAGACTGGTCAGGAAGACCCTTCTCTCTTCCATCCCTTCCAGCTACACACAGTTACCTGTTCTCAAGTTAAACAAGCAGCCGAGAGAAACTTGCTGATGCCTGGGATTTGCTGGGGGTCTCTGGGCTGGGGGGGTTCCAGGTGCAACAGGGGGGCCTTGAGCACCTGCGGGCTCAGTATGCTGGCCATGGGTACCCCAAGGAACAATATTCTCTTTTCATTTATAAAGTGTTGTATGAGCTGGGCAGGCAGCGCAAGCCTGTAATCCCATCGACTCAGGAGGCTGAGACAGGAGGATCCCAAGTTCAAGGCCAGCCTGGACAACCTAGCAAGACTCTGACTTAAAATTAAATTAAAAGCTCAGTGGCAGGGGGCTTCCTAGCATGGGCACGCACACACACACACACACATACACACACACAATGGAGTGTCATTCAGCCATAAAAAGAATGAAATCTTGTCATTTGCAGGAAAATGGATAGAGCTATAGACAAAAGACAAGAACAGAAAGAGAAGCATCACTGTCATGTTTGGGATCTAGAAAAAAAAGCTGACATGAGCATTGCAAGGGGACTAGCCTGGAAGGGGGAAGGGACAGGGGAGTGAGAGAGGACATCAGGGCAGGTGGATATGTGGGATGTGGCATACAGATGTATGACACTGTCACAATGAAACCCATTATTCTGTATGATCACTATATACTAATAATTATAATTTAAAAATCAGCATGTTGCCTTCCCCTCTGGTTCTGGGGACAGAACTCTGGCTTGAGTACGCTGGATGAGTAGTTCACCCTGAACCCCATCCCCAGCCCTGAAACTGTCTTCCTATAAAAGGAAACCAATGCCCAGAGGAGGTAGACC